ACATAATCTATTTTTCTAAGTTTCAAGTGTAAAAATAGGTTACAACATCTTTCAGTCAAATAAGGTGCTATTTCCTTGACTTTAGTTTTAAGGCAACAGTAGAGAGAAAAAACATTTCAATGAGAAAAAGAAAGTTATTAAAAAGACAGAATATTAGCTATGTTACACTGGGGACACGTTTTTGACCGGGAGTTTCACGATATAGGTTATCTCGTTTTTATCAACCTGAAGACGGCCCTAGAAAAGAGAATTGGTAATCAAAAATTGGAAAAAAAATAAGCAGGCGTTGGTAGGATAAAACTCAATATTTGGGTCAATATTATTTCGCATTAACTGTCAAATGACGACGCTTTAAAAGAACATTGAAAACATCATTGTTGGTAAATAATTAGATTTCTGATGATGGCACTACACAATTAGGTCATATGGCAGTCGTGAAACAGGCAAGATGATTATTTTGGCTTACTTCGGGTGTTACAAACTTAAATCCTCATCGCTGCGAAAAAATGTCTGTAACAAAACCATCCATCAGGAAATCTAATATTGAATGTAGCTTCATTTAATGCTACACGCTATAGGCTTTTATTTTTAATAAAAAGCATTATTCGATTCTAAAAGTATTGTTGTACAAGAAAATTTCATTATTCTAGTGAAATTTATTATACCAAAAAATGATAATTCTTATTTGTCTTCAAAAAGCTGACATTATTTAGTCTTTTTAATTCCATTGTCCGGAATGAAATATTGTGTGTATTAATTGTAGTCACCCGCAAAACTAACATTTCTCTTGTCGGTCTTAACTTTCGTAATTGTGTTACTTTCGTTATTGAATCTCGTTGTTAGAAAAAAAGTTAAAAAGATATTCCTCATTCCTTTTATGAAGAACATTTCGCTGATTACCATGATTGTAAGATTGTCCCAATGTATATGACGTCTAGATGGAGTTTCAAGTAGCCATTATGATATGTAGTCAACCGACTTAAATCAAATAGATGAGTGTGTTACCATTGCATTTTTTAAAGAAATAATTAACATGTAAAAATGTTACAGTAACATTGTAGAATAAAAATGTGATTTAAAGATATTTGTTTTTAATTTGAGAATGTATAATGTAAATAATTCTGTAGAACATAGAGAGACGTCATTTCGCCGTTATGAATACAGTTGAAAACCCGATAGAGCCGCTGATAGCATTTTATCCCGACCCAAATATTCTGATCTATACTGGTAGGAGGTGTTTTAATTTAATGTAACATTTGGCGTTATTACGCCCACCCGGCTTTCAAAACAGCAACTAAATGTTAATAACGGTATATAATAGCAATTAATTTAATATAACGTAATAATAACCAAGCAAAGAGATTATGGTACATGTATCATCTGTAAATGGGTTTTTAATTGGCTTTAAAGGGAAATTACAAAAATCATCCTAAAATAAATTCATAAATTCACGCGTATTTACTAGAACCAATATAACAGTTCTGTAGAAAGTCTTATAGCTTTTTATAGACAATTAGATGACGGGAGATAATTAAATTTGCTATTTTCTTTTAAACAAGATAGTTTCCTGGGACGCCAAATAAATTAAGCCATACTTAATTACATTTATGAAGTCTTATAAGTAAGGCACGTTTCCAGTGTTAAAAAATAATCATAGGTTTCCCTCCGAGAGGATGGCAGCGTGGTTAAAAGCAGAATAAGTTCTCCAGAAAGTCTTGTTACTCGGTTAAAGAACACTAGAAGAAGAAAAAAAAATCTCTAAAGAAAGTCTAAAACGACAAAATTAAAAAATTAAAAAATGTTGCAAGCTCGTTTTCATTGAGCCAGTTCATGGACGGTACCGTTAAGTGCAAACTTCCACCCACGCCCTCCCCCAAGCACCGTCTTATGCAGAATTCAATATTTAAACACGAAAATGGTGAAATTAAAATTTAGAAACATCCCCAGATGTGTTCTATAAACGTGTTGAATTTGTGAGATGGATTTGCCCTGCGTTGAAATCGGAACAGTCGATATTAAAATTAAGGGGTTTCAGTAACAAGAATCACAATTTGTGCTACTAACAATGTTAAGACTTATCTGACGGCATGGAATAAAATGTCCTTAATTGCATTTACATACCTTTGCAATATACATTAATCCACATTGTGTTGTGGGTTGGAAAAAAATAAAGCTTAGTAAAATTAACACATTCGTTTGATTGTAAAAGTATGTCTTTTTTTTAAAGTTTTTGATGTTCTAGAGCAATACAGAGGTCTGTGTGTCTACGTTGTGCGTGCGCGCGTCCGTCAGTCTATGCGTGTTTTTGTTTGTTTTTTTTTTTTTGTTTTTTTTTTTTGGGGGTTCTGTTTTACATTTCTTGCACTTTGATCATTTTTATTCACTTGAAAAATTACTGATGTGATGGAATTCTATCTATTTCAAACTTGACATTAGAAATTTAAACTTTTCAACTTATAAAAACTACCAAGAAAGAAGAACGTTCCAATACACGTGACGCCATAACGTGAAAATAGAAATAGCACACAGTGGCTCACGTGTAAGAAGAGAACGGAAGAATGTTCCAAGAAATAAAAATGAATATATTGACCAACGGACTGCCCATGATTCACTAGAATGTTTCCTAAAACGCTTCACAGGATATTGGATGATTTTTATTCTTTTTCAAGAAAGTTAAAGTGACAAAGGGGGTTTGCATTCCTTAAGGAAAGGAAGTATGATGCTATTTATGTCTTTAGTTTTATAAAATATTATCATGTGTTTAAAGAAATACAGATATCAAAACGAAAATACTATACACGAGTTTTCAACGCAAAAGATAAAATATACGAAAATATCATTCCTGAGTTTTTCATACAAAATATACAATACACGAAAATACCATGCCCGAGTTTTCCATACAAAATATACAATACACAAAAATAGCATGTAAGGGTTTCAAATACGAAAGATACATTTTACGAAAATGCAATACAACAGTTTTTCCATACATAAGATACATTTTACAACAACACAAAACATTCACGAGTTTTCCATACAAAGAGACAGTATATGAAATATACCTTACACGAGTTTTTTTTTAATACGAAATATCATCGTCGGATACCCAAGGTTGATTAACATATGTTGCAGATTTGACTCGACGTCACGTAACATCGCTTAATAAAGAAAACGAATAGAACACAACGCCAAGTAATAGAAAGAGCACCGAAACACGAGGCTATCTGATTTGTACGAGGGGGCGTAGCCCCCGAGTATAAATCAGATTGCCGAGAGTTTTGGTGTTCTTTCTCTTTTGTATCATAGTCAAACATAAAAGCACGTTCCCTGTATCACAATATGAAACCCCGGCAAAAATGAACCAATGAACGAACATCTGGATATGACATTTCTGTCGCTTTCCCTTTCTCTGCCGTCAAAATATGTAAACCCCAGCAAAAATGAGCCAATCAATAGGCATGCTCTGGAGTGCGGGTAACTAATACCCGCACTCCAGTTAACGCACTGTGCATGTATATGTATACGATTTAACCCTGACACATTTTCAACAGAAAGGTCTCCAAACTATGATACAAGATTTCCTTACAACATGAAATCAAGGGTTCGGCCGTGGGTATCCGAAAGATAAAATACACGAAATATACCAATCACGAGTTTTCCATACAAATAGTAATACAGTGTATATACGAAATATGCCATATACGAGTTTTTCATATGAAATATAACTTTTACGAAAATACAGATTACCATGTGCATGAGCAAATACTTTTTATAACTTGATAGGGTGTTTATTTTTTATTGCATTTAACTTATAGACCTCCGTTAATATTAGAATATTCACTACTCTATCCTTATATGCGAGAATGTGACATGAATTTAATACGTAAAATCACTTAAAGACACATTATGCCTCAGAAACGAATTCTTTTTTACTTGTAAAAGTTTTATAGGGATTAAGGAATGATTTTAAAGCATTTAGAAGCTTAAAACCAGAAAAAAAGTAGCGCATAATTTGAAATTTTTTGTTATAAAAGTGGCAAAATTTAAACAAAGCAGTATTTTTAATTTTATACAGAATACTCCCATTACTGTAAGTGCATAATAGAAGCAAACGATGGTTGAGGTATTTGGCCGATTAGCAACCTCTTGGAATTTATAGCAGGTCACTATATAAATACTTATTAAAAAAGCTTGGAGAAAAACAAAAAGCATTTTTGAGGAAATTTGGACCTTTAAAGTTGCTGATTTATGTTGGATTTGTTTAATAAATAGAAATCATCGATCAATAATAGAAAGATTGCGCGTTAGCAGGTTCATAAGAAAGTTATGAAAGAGAAAAAATTCGCACGTGTCGGTCTTAGACTGGAATGAATCTGAAATTTTATATGTCCTTTTAACCCTTGCTGTGCTAAATTCAATAAATGAACTTCTCCATCTTTCAATATTTACAAAAAACATTTACAGGGAAAATACATCTATTGAGGGGAAATCCACCGCCACCCCCCCCCCCCCCCAAAAAAAAAAAAAATCACAAATTGACAGTTTGCTTATTTCTGAACGAAATTATCGGTTGTAAAAATGAATAAGCTTGTTGGAACAAATTAATTTGATAATGTACGTATTTTATTGTATTAGTATGAATGAAATTGCTTGTTTGTGGTTTGTTTTTATTTTGATTTGGAGAGAGAGAGAGAGCAAACGTTAAATTTTTCATGTATTTGAGAAAAATTCAATGGTATGAAATTCTCATTTAAAAATGTTTTGGAAATCGATTTCTTTAAGGCTTTTTTCCAGTAATAAAAAAATAGGAACTTTCAATAAAAATCAAAAAGATGTGAAAGAAAATAATAATGTCTATAAAACAAATAATAAAAAAATGTTTCTTTATATTTTCAGATGAAGTTATGTCACTGCCATATTATCGACTTCAATGATCACGATAATTAATTGTGAAATCGTTAGCATGGCAACGGTATTTAGTTAACGTCAATAGCGATGTACCTGATAATGAGACGATTGCCTTGTAGACGATTGTAGACAATATTCTCTGTAGTGACAGTGAACTAGCTGCTTGGTGCGATACTGAATATGGAGAACGTACTCGTGGCTGATATTCACAATGTATCTCCTTCATACACTGAGAACATTCCGGAAATGCCGAACATTGGATATTACGAACAAGCAAAAGATATTTTACAAACTTACATAGTTCCTGTTATAATTGGTACGGGAGTTTTAGGAAACACAATTTGTTTCATAGTCTTCGTCGCATCGCCTCTGAAGCGCATATCAACTAGTGTTTATCTTGCCGCTCTTGCATTTTCAGATACTGGATTTCTTGTTTGTTTGGGTATAGGATGGCTTGAATCTCTCGATATACGATTCTTTCACAAGGAAGGCATTTGTCAAATGACTGTATACACGTCCTTTGTCTTCAGTTTTACCTCTATCTGGTTTGTCAATGCGTTTACATTGGAGATGTACATATCTGTATTCCACCCACAGAAAAGTCCGAAGCTTTGTCGTCCAAACAGTGCAAGGAAAATTGTCGGAATTATATCGGTTCTCGGAGGACTTATGTATATTCATGGATTTGTTATTGCAAAAGTTGTTCAGTACCCAGGGACCAATACCGAAGTATGTCTTATCATGCCTAAAGACGAAAAGACGGCTATGATACTCTCTGTGATCGACACTGTCCTCACCCTGGTTGTGCCTTTTACCATGATCTTATTCATGATCACACGCCTTTTTGTCCACATATCAAAATTCTACAAGACAGAATTGGAAAGTTCTGCTACCTCGACTGCAGACGAAACAAACAGCGGACACTCTGAACACCAAAATAATAGATCCGAAAGTATCTCCCATCCTACAGTTCGGCAAGCGACAGAGGCACAGACAAAACTTACACGAATGCTTGTAGTGACCGTTGTCGTCTTTCTGGTACTTAACCTGCCCAGTCATGCAATAAAAGTCCAGTTCTTATTTAGGTCAATGCTGGCGGAAAATGTGAGATTTACGGAAACAGAGGGATTCATTCAAGTTCTTTTCCAAATTTTGTACTACGCTAACTTTTCAGTCAACTTTTTATTGTATAGTGCTTGTGGGCGTAGCTTTAGAAGCGCCATGATGCGACTGTCGTTAAACGTCCGGTATTGTCGCGGGATGTTTGACTGCCATCGCAAAATCCAGAAACTTGGCAATATGAGTAAACAGACAAATGAAATACTTAACAATGAGTTAGCAGGAGAACAACAACACTCGAGGCTAGTTGATATACACTTAAACGAAATACGTTTTTCTCAGCTTCCATCAATAGGAAGCGAATTTGTTTGTCAGTCTCCGCCATGTTTACTTGCATTTGAGTCGGAGCAACTGATAGAAGAGTGCCACGAACATTGATTTACTCTGTGTTAATGATCCTATAAAAATAATATTAAGTCTGATTTTACTGACCTGTCAATTATGAATACATTTTGAACTCATTAAAAAATATTCGACCCAACTTTGGTTCTGCCCGTGTAGTTTACGAGAACTAATATGAAGTATGTTACTAATGTTTTGAAAAGTCACATCAGCTTAATGTATAGACCGTGGTCACAAAATAAAAAAAATCATCAAGCTTCAATAAAGATAAAAACGTTAATAACTAAAGCATAGACCTTCGCGATCTTGGTCTTACAAGACGTATTATAAACCCGTAGTTTATCCTATTGGGCTATATAACTATTTTATGAACTCTTACTTTTACCGATATGCATTGACAATATTATCAGTAGGCATTTGACAGGTAAATAAAATCAAACAATATTTTATGTTGGTAGGATACCAGGTGATTTAGGACTCCGGGTGAGTAATTATTCACAACAATATTAAAATGACAGATGTACTTTTGTATTACTGCTCATCTTTATAAACAATATTTTTTAGGTCCGAATGACATTGATATCTGATTAGTTGATTTTGATGGTGGCTGATTTGTGCCACACCGTACTTCCGCGGAAAGCACAAAAGTTCGTCAACGTGAAGACTTATTCATACTACAGCTCCGCGGGGCGCCTGGCGAAATCATGAGGATACAACAAAGTGATGACATTGTCATATTTCCGTGATTTCGTCCGGCGCCCCGCGGAGCGAAACTACTTCTTGACGCAAATCAGCCACCATAGATTTTTCTGTCAGTTTCGTATATTTATAATACATTGTACTGCACTTTTGTAACGTCATTTTTCATTTGATAATTCTGACGATTATATACATGTAGTTTTATATACACGGCTGCTGTCGATTCATGAAGAAATCTTACTTTTTTCTCTAAAAATGATGCTTGCTGTTTTATAAATTCGTTATAAAGATTGTTGACAGGTAATATGTCCGTATATAAACGTCGGTTTGCAATATAACCCTCGTTTAACGGCTCGTGTTATATTTACAAATAGCCGTTTATATAGGGCCATATAACCTGTCAACGATCTTAATAACTAATAATATATATACCCTTTGCACTGTGTGTAAAAAGGATAAAATATGATTAACAAGGTCAACAAGGAAATGCGGCGTTCAGTGAGCGCAAAAGTCAGTGTTTTCGTGTAAATTTGGCAAATTCGTATTTTCCACTTTTAGATACAGTGGAAGGAAATGATGTGATTGTGTTCTTTATAAAATATGTGAGATATGCCGAATTTGTACTATAACTTATGTTTTGCCATCAGGTTTTTTATTTTCTTTTTTATAATAGATCTCCTTATGATCAAAATACTATTTACGAAAGATTTTCAAACAGTTTTATATATTTTTATATTTATATTGAAGTTTCAACAGTCAAGACTATGTATTGATATATTTCTTATCACGATATCCTCGAACGCATAAAATTGAAAATCATTAATTTGTCCTGGAAAGTAAAAGCTTTGGGACAGTCAGTTAGCGAAAAAAAAAAGATTTAGATTTACAACTGACTATTAATTTTTTCTAAAAATCTGTATTAATGCATGATTTACATCATAATTTCCTTAATGTAAATTTTTCAAAACTGATTGTTTAGTCAATATTTCTCGTGACGTTATCTGTTGTCTGTGTATTTTTAGATATTTTTAAACAACTAACAAATTCAACAGTTTGTAAAATTTCAAAATTTAAAGGCAAAGAAAGGTGCCAAATTTGAAAACTTGATACACAATGGAATCACTCCCTGTTTGGTTTATTTAATTTTGGTTTATTGATCATTCCTTTTCTCTTTCTCGAACTTTTCATATATATTTATTTTTTCAGTCTATATATTTATAATGTAAACGTTATTCATATTAAAGTGTTAATCAATTTGTACATTTTAAAGCACGAATAAATGTTAAGAACAGATTTTTTGTGGTATTTGTAAATGATAACGTTGTTAATGATGTTGTGAGTTTTGTATAATTTAAAAAAAAAAAACGTGTAAATAATTGAATGCGAATTTGTGTTTTAATGCGTGATATGTTAATTTTTCTTTGCTACAAAAGACTGATTTTTCATTTTAACTTCAAATATTTGAAACTCATTGTATTTTTGATTGTTTATGAATGCAAGATTTCAATTTCATTTGTTTTAAAGTTTGGATATGAATTTATACATATATACATATATAGCATGTATATTTTTAAGTATTTCTCATACACATAAGAAGATTTGAGTCGTGTCATGACATAACCAACATAATGGGTTTGCGACCAGCATGGATCCAGACCAGCCTGCGCCCCCGCGCAGTCTGATCAGAATCCATGCTGTTCGCTATCAGTCTCTCTACTTGTAATAAGGTTTGTAAACGAACAGCATTGATCCTGATCAGACTGCGCGGGACGCAGTCTGGTCTGGATCCATGCTGGTCGCAAACCCATTATGTTGGTTTTGTCATGACGCGGCTCATTTGTTACGAACATGTTTGTAGTATTTAACAATTATCACATGTTCGACAAACGTTGGCATTATTCGTAATAATCCGTAAATCATAAACGTCATTATGACTTGTCATATTTTGAATTTTTGCCATTCCTATATCTGTCCAGTGTTAAAGTTGAATATTTTTAAAGCAACATGCCTTCAGTTTCATACTTGCTTTGATAAAAATTAAGATTTTTTTTAAAAGTAAAATATTGTGAGGCAAAGAAAGTAATTTATACATTGCGAACGGCATTTACAATCCACGTAAATTACCAAAAAAAATATATAAAAATATAGTCATTTCTGCGTTAGTCAAGCAGTACAAATATGGCGAATAATACTGCAATATCAGTCCTTTATAGAACATAACATGTACATTATTACTTGAATCTTTCTTCTTTTTTTTCCTTTTCTATAAATATTTGTTCATTTTCTCAAGTTCATTTTTCTTGTTTTTCTCATCTGAAGGCATGTAGTTTTAAAGATAACTTTTATATTTACATAAATTAATAAAAAGTTTTGGTCATCTTCGGAAGATACAACTATGCTTAAACATCTTTCGTATTATTAGGTAGAATTTGATTATGTAATATTTTGACATCTGAAAAAATGTGTAAGTTTTCTAAAAGATAATTTTTTATAAACTTATATAACAACAGAGAAATGTTGAATTTAGTTCTTTTATTACTTATCATAAAGTGTGTATTGGTAAGAAAGCAAACACAAGTCGAAATGATATGTATAGTTAACAAATAAAACATGGTGTTCAGGGCAATATGCAAATTTACGGACAGGTTGGTCAGACTGAGGAAGGTATACGGCCCGAAGCTGCGCTGCCAGTCCGTAAACTTGCATTTTGCCCGAAAAGCCATGTTTTATTTGTTAAGTATTATATGGTTTTAAACTTACAAACCCAGAGCTTACATATGTGTATACACGCAACCGTTTATATGCAGTCATATAACCTGTCACAACTTCTGCAAAAAAATAAGGAGTATAATTCTGTATTTGAGGAAAAATTAAAACAATTTAATAAATTTATAGCAACGATGTATCTACATTTACATTGTACATTATATAAGTGCTGCGATTTTCCAGTGAAAATTGACGTTACATACGAGCAGTGTCATAAAGATTAAATTCTCCGCTAACAAGTTTAAACGCATGCTGTATTATTTTCTTAAATTGTGATCATTTAAAAGATTTTCTTTTGATTACGATTAAGGTACTTTTCCATGTCATAAATGTTTGCTATTTCTTGCTTATTTTTTGTTGAATTATATTTCATTCTGTTGCTTGTTGTTGTTGTTGTTGTAGTATCTAAGGAAGCATATATTTATTTATTCATTCATTCATTCATTCATTCATTTATTCATTTATTCATTTATTCATTCATTCATTCATTCATTCAGTCATTCATTCATTTATCTATTTATTTATTTATTCATATATTTATTTATGTATTTTTTCATTTATTCATTCATTCATTCATTCATTCATTTTCTTAGCTGTTTTTCTCAGCATTTATTAATGCCCATAAATAATTTTGAATATTTTAAGAATTTAAGGGTTATTTAGTTCCAAAACGCTATTTTTATTCCTCAAAGATTTAATTATTTTTTGATGATCTTTAATAATTTCCGAAACGGTTTTAAGACTAATTGCTGATACTTTTTCTTTTGACAAATAGTTATGTTACAGTGATTTAGTGTTTTGTATTAAAATGCTTTAATCACTTAAATTATGTTTTGCGACTTTATTTTTACATTCAACGCGGCTTTCCTTGCGTGAAAGGCCTCTAAACTCACACGCCAAATGCATGATTATAGCATGATAAAACAAAGGTTTGCCTTTTCTTCAGGAAGAAAAAAACGTATTCAAATTTTCTGACTAAATGTTCTTGTCTTTCCTTGAACCCTTAAAATTGTTTAGACAGTTATAGATTAAAAAGTTACGGTATGTTTTCAATTTTGCAATTTTGATAAAAACAAATATCATGCATTTTCATACTATGATTCCGTCCAATTCGCATCATATTTCTTTTGCACTGACATTAATATTGGTTTCATTTTTCAAGATTTTGTCCTTCTTTTAAATTTTTTTTAAAAAATGCCTTAATGAAAGTAACAGGAAAAAAACATACGTGTCGCATTTTCCGATAGTTGTTGTTGCCAGTTAATGCATTTTTGTAAAAACAAAACAAAAACAAAATAAAATATTACAGCATAGACAAGTCATTGCTACTGGTCGGTGTTGTATCGCAATATATTATTATTATCATCATCATCATCAACAACATCGTCGTTGTCGTCATCATCATCATCGTCATCAATATTATCATAATAGCATTAATATTACTATTATTTAATTATTATTATTATTTTTTTATTATTATTATTATTATTATTTCATTGTATATAAGCTATATGGGTTACTTTGCTGCATTTGATTTTAGTGTTTTGTTGTTTTTTATCGTTTTTTCCCCTTTATTTGGTTTAATTGGATTTTTTAAGTTTATTAAGCTGTAGCTAATAAAATTATTGCTTTGAATTTTAAAAAAAGTATAATCCCAAACTATTAACATGAAAGAAACATATTTGTACGAATTCTTATGGGCATTGCACTTACACTGGATGGCAAGAATTCTACGTGCAAAAATAGCGAAACATTTTTTTCATTTTTTTCCCGGAACATTTTATTCTGTTAAAGTACAATACTAATTCGAGACATTTTATTTTACTCAATACAGTTTTAAGAAAATACCACAGGAGTATGGAAACAACATTGTTTATCTGTTTTTAAATAATATTTCGTTAGATATGTATTTATATCCCTAAATACACATAGGTAGTTTATTACACAAACGCCTTGAAGGAATACTTTGAAACACTCATAAAGTGGATATTTCTGGAATATATATTGTAATGCGGAGGAAAATTGTATATACAAATATCTATTTATTTATTTTTGCGAAAAATGCTGTTCATATTTTAGGTTAAACTTAAGAAATGTGATGGTAGAGTTAGAATAATTGAAATATTTTACTGGTATGTGAAAATATCAGAATAAATTTCATTGTTTGTATACATTCACAGCATTATTAAAATACATATCACAGAAATAAATATTGTAAAAAGAAATATGTTAGATATATATCAAAATTGTTTTCAAATGACGTTTGTTAATTTGTTATGTTTTTGTTAATGACATACGATGTGTTATCTTTGTTTGAATACATTTGTAAATAGATAAAAATAAAACAGTGAATTGTTCTTGTATTGTAAATTAACACCTCCTACTGACAACCCACGCACCGCCCAATCCCTCCAATGTTAAGATATCAACCGACTGATCAATTGATTCTTGGATTCGCGTTAAAATGAGCAATTTCGGCTACTTTGGTGAGAAATTTCTTTCTTTTTTTCCACAAAAATCGTATTCATCTTAAAGAATCACATACATGTACAGTGCGAGATGTCCATTCCAGCCTTGACACTATGCTCACTAGCCAGTATCACTACTCCTGCATTTACTTATTAATGATTGAAATTTAATTTCAAATTCAAGTTAAAGATACAAATAAGTACGGTCTCTACAGTGAATATATTAATTATTACTAGTGCCAGAATATCTTTTAAGATTCATTCTCATGTCTATGACAAATTCTTGAAAATATAATTATCTTACGGGTGATGAAGATACCCGAACTAAAAGCGGTCCATATTCCAGGGCATTTATGACCATAAATAATTATATTATTAGTATTTGGTATTTAGTACATTGCATGACAACAACCCACGGAAGAAATTATATATGGATTTTGTTGTTAAGTGTTCGATACATGATCCGATTTTGTAATACTTTTTACATCTTCCTATGTCAATAAAAGCATTTAAACTTTGCTCTTAGGTAGTTTTTATGAGATATTGCAAACAACTACAATCAAACTTTAGAACAAGCGGCCGTTTTACCTCTATACTGTTTAACTGTGCAACTTCAAATTTTCAAATTGATGTCAAAAGCAGTTTCAAAAATTTGGAAATGGACAAACGTTTTTAAGAAATTCCGGAGGTTAAGTAGATAAGTTATCAAAATATACCCTATACATGTCTGAATATACACTGAGCAAAAAGCAATCAATTTCTTAGACATCACATTAATGTTATCTCCAATAGGCCAATTCTCTTGACGACGCGGTAATTATGCAACACGGTATACAGCCTTATGTCTTTGTATGACGGCTTACATAATTTTTTATGTACAGTGAGATGGCTATAAGAAAAACTGATTAAATCCCTTTGAAATGTTAATCACGGAATTAAAAACTTGAATCTCCGGCTGCACGCAATTGGTGTACTAGTTAGTACCATCGTCATCATTAATTATTAAAGTTGATTGAAGCTTTGATTGTTAAGACCTTATATGGTAATCTTTATGTCGTTGTATTTAGGACTGTGTATATTGTTGCTAAGTTTCTGAAAGCTGTACAATGGAGGCAATTAAAGAAGTTGTTATCTTATCAAGATTGTGAAATAAAGGCTTTGCATAGAACTATCACATGCTAAGAAAACTAAGGCATTTATACATCAATAGCTACTCGTTTCACATGACCGGCAAAAAAGTAAATGAATGTACTATTAATGAAGAAATATTCAAATACAACAGGTCATGACTAAGTCGTGCAAAAGAGTATTCAAGATCGGTGTTTTATGTCTCTTGGACACATATGGCGACATTTAAGCTTTACTGGTAGAGAAAGGCCTCAGGTGCCCCTCCGTGCACTATTTTATGGACGAATGGTCTGGATGGCTTCCCATAAAAGAATTCAAAGTCTCGGGCAGGATTTGAATCAACAGCAGTAAAAGGCAAGAAGCTCGAAGCCAGCGACATTAACCATTCTGTCCGGACTCAAAATATTGTAAAAATGCAACTATGATCTCACATTTACCATTCATGATTTTATTATTCATGAAGGTCATTACTTATGAAAATACACATTTGCCTTATGTTAAAACACGTGAGAACTCGACTCTGGTGTTATAAAGAGTTCGTCTATAAAGTGACTAATTTCGTCCAGACGTAATGTCAACCACTATTAGAGATTGCAGGGCGTGCTGGTTGGTTTTAGGTTCGTATAAATGTATTTCTTTAAAACATATATTTATTTTTTTGTTTCTTTTGTACGACTAAGTTTAAAATAAGAACACGCGTGTTATTTTTATTGTTATATCAGAATAATGTTTTTTCACCGTAATTAAGAAAAAAATGACTTTCTGAATTAAAGAGTTCATAAGTGAATGAACCCCGTCTCTCACTTCTGTCTACGGTCTTTTCAGATTCCATAAAACAAAGTCTAAAACAAAACAGTTTTAGTTTTGTCCTGCGTTCGGCCTTCAATGTTTCTGATTTTTTTTTTGATTTTTTTTTACATAACGTGTTGTTCTGCATCAAGATATCTTTAGATACTCATATGGAATCTCACATGGTACTTGTTTCACGTGAAATTTGCATGACCTCTAACATTCTACAACGAATTAACAAGTCGTCTGCTAATAACGTGTGAATCATCATCTGGTTATGCCAACGCGAACATTGAAATGAGGCAAACAAACGCATTCGTACGCACGTTCAATATTAAGGGGCAAAAAAAGGTTTTCAGTCTTGTAAGTAGATTATCCATTTTCTCATTTAAATGTTTTATTCTGCTTCGAACCGGTGCTAGGTGGTGTGGATTAGATTGTAGCCAGCAAATACCACAATTTTGAACAGGTTTAATCAAATAGAACTGCAACAGTTTTAATTTTGTATTGTTGGGTGTTTCATTATTGTTCCAATTTCACATATTTTCATGTTACAATGTTTATATTGTACACGGATTTTGATAATTTCACTGTGAAATTATATAATATCATTCACTTTGATATATATGATACATGTTTATATCAATAATGTGCATCAATAATTAACATTTTGTTCGATGTATACGATAAAAGGTCATTCATACACAGTCATGGTTAAATAATTAACATTTTGTTCGATGTATACGATAAAAGGTCATTCATACACAGTCATGGTTAAATAATTAACAATTTGTTCACATGTATACGATAAAAGGTCATGCATACACAGACATGGTTAAAGTGGCCTTCAGCTTTTATTTTTGTAGGAAAAAACAATTGTGTGTTGTTTCAGTATTTCAGTACTTTTGTTTTGGAAAAGTGCATAGCCTTTTTCAAAACAGCGTCTCGAGAGTCAGTGACGGTCGTTTTTCAATATAGAAAATCGGGAAATGAATCGTCCCCTTTACTTATTCAAATATAAAAAAGCGGATCGGTGGACCGGTGGATTAGAGGTACTGAGGGATTTCCTGATTGTTTATGTACTCTTTTGCCGGTAAATTCATTTTTCACATTTATTCTTTTGATTTGACAATAATATAAATCCATTTATCTAAAAATAACACATTTAACGTCTAGAAAAGCTTAGGACCGCTTTAAATGTAGATTTATGTTACTTATCATTTAATTTCACTGCGGAGTTATATTTTTTTATGAATTAGTGAGACAGCATAAAATCATGTCAATTATTACTTTATTTTGGAAACATTTACTATTCTTAAATTCTTAGTACATTTATCTCAAGTTTAATCTTCTTGGAATATTTTTGCTCATCTGGAGTCATGCATCTTTAATGTATGACATTCTAACATTAAAATTTTTCGATGATTCATGGCATAGAATTGCTAATTTATCTGCGTCAATAACTTTTGTGACCTCATTAACACTTATGGAATAAAGTTTCTGTTTAGAGTCATTATATAGGCAATTTTATTTGATGATATTTTGATATTTGTTGTTTGTATGCATTTGAAAGGAATCTCTCATCAGAAAACAAGTATTGGCAACAATGCAGTAGCCACGTTAAGACACATGGATTTTCGTGTCTCGATGTTTGATCATGCCGACTTATATAAACCTGTACAATGTGGCCATACCACGTGACTTTTCGGGTACGGAACACGCCGATTTTTCACCCGATTCAGGTATAAAAATATTAACATTTTATAGCCAAATATTAATTGTTTAATTAACATTTAAAATCGAATTTTGCGCTACGTACTCTCAAAATGTTCTTTTATTTTTTTAGTAATCCTGTTTACATCAAACTGTAAGCATAATGATACATTGCAAAACAGGTCCCAGGGTTCTCGTTTAAATTAATAAAATGTATAACTATGAAAACAAATCACTCATATTATAATTCAAATTAAATTTTCATATATTTTATTTTATAATTATTTCAAAGACAGAAATTGTGTGTACCGTATCTTTTTAAATAACAGTGTGTTCCGTACCATTTCAACATTACTTTATGAAAATATGCTAAAACATCACTGCATTCACTCGATACATTGGACAAAGTAAATATATCAGATTTAACATGTATTTTTCTATGAAATAGTGACAAAAAACATATGATTTGCTAGAAATCGCTTGTTATGACAAATGAGTGTGTACCGTTCCCCTCGGCCCCGGCTATGAGAAGAAAACTGTTCTCGAATGTTCTCAAAAACCATTCAGGGGTTTTCAGAATTTTGATATACCGTGGAAAGCTGATATAATTACGGGTACTCTGCGCCTTATCTGATCAAAATCGGTTGAGTAATAAATAAGTTATGAATAAAAAACATACCTGAATCGGGTGAAAATCGGCGTGTTCCGTACCCGAAAAGTCACGTGGTATGGCCACATTGCTGTAGATATCATCAAAATGATACATAAAGAATATCTACGATAAGGAACTTTTTTTATTTATACATGACAATTTCCGAAGGCTGGAAAAATGACAATGATGATCGTTGTTGTGTTTGTAGTAATCTTAGACTAGGGTGGTAGTTTTACCACAAGACCGCATTTCTGCCTTTTTTTCAAGCAACACGTGATTTATCTCGGTTTTGCTGAAAGGTAAAACCCGGGTTTCAAGATCTTTGTCAGAATTATCGTCTCTAAAAGTCTTGCTCAAAGCTTGATAAAGTGGTCACACAAAAATAAGAAAAATCAAGGTCCTATATTGTTAAAACTTAGCTTAAATAATGTACCACTATCGTATGTAATTCAAATAGTTTTGTTCATGTTGCAGCCACATAAACATGTCCTGCT